CCCTGGCTCCAAAAATATATTAATCCTTTGCTATAGTAGATTTAGATTTAAGACCTCAAATGCTTAATTTATCAATCTATATTAATCTCTTCTATAAAAACAATTTTGAAAGAAATTCTAGAACACAGAAAATATGGCCTTTATTTTATCAATAACCCAACGGTAAGTTGTTTTTATGTGATACTCAAGTTAGAATTCAACAAGAAAGCCACAGGTGCATTTCTATTTTCTATGTTCCTAAAGTATGCTGAATATCTCCAAAAAAAGGTACTTGTACTAACACACACTCACACACTCACGGGAACCTTTTGCTACTACCCGGAGGCTGTAGATTGTCTGCAGGTGATGACTGCCTTCTTTGGTCAGTTTAAATGTTGAAGAAATCATTTATGGATTATATATGTAAATAAGCTGTCTCATCACTTCATCTGTGTATAGAAGTCAAAGCACTTTTAAATATCTACCTTTGGATTATTATTTTTTTTGAGAGGTTTTTCCTATAGGACACGTGCGCTCACCAGAAAGACAGAAAGCGAGAAATCACCCCCCAGGGTTGATGGCCACCCCGCAATCCCTTCTCCTCCATTCTCCTCTCGAGATCTTGGGTAGGCACACATATGTGCTCAGCGTGAGCTTAAGCCACCAGATCCGGGACTCAAATCACGGTCAACTACCTGGGAGTCCAGCGACATAGCCATTGCACCAACTGCTGGTCTCGCATCTGTGGAGTTTGAGGCTAGCTATGAATTCTTTTCCCTGTGGCAGAAGTAGAAGAAATTGATTTATATGTTATACTTTTGGCCCAGTTGGTTGCAGCATTCTGAGGGAGGAGATAGCACTAGAGATAATGAGACTTAGAATGCCAAAGCAAAGGCCAGAACAAAATATGGAAAAGTTGAGAAAGGCAATGTTGTGCTGTGGGTCTCTCTTTGGCTGGAATTACTGGATCTCATAGTTACTGCGAATCGGTGGTGGCATGAGACTTTTGAAATATAATGATAAAAACTTGTGGTGATCATTATTATTAAAGTAGCTAACTACTAGATGTCTACTTTATACCAAGCGATGTGTCAAACGTTTATATTATATCATTCTCGTAACAACGCCATGTAATATTTTCACCATTTTAACCTTGAATAAACTGAAGCACAACAAAATAAGGTGACTTTCTTAATATCATTCAGTAATCAGTATCAGGGCAGTATGTCGAGTATTTTAGTTTGCTTTGTTTTGTCTTGTTTTAGATCATAAAAGGAGATGTCCAAGTGGCTGTCTCCGTGAACACTGAGCAGCTCTGTGAAACTGCCTGTGAAGGAGAAGCAGAGAAAGTTCTCTACTTCTAATTCACTGTAGATCCTGACTGTAGAGCTGATATTGACTAAAAATAAAATAAAAAAAAATCAAGGTTGACAAAAAGAGCACCAAACATACTTTCTAACACATGGAGGCTGGCTAACCCAAGTCATCTAGAGATAGGATGATATTAAAACACAGACACACACACAAATAAGTGAGAAAAAAGAGAGAGAGAACAACTTGGGTTTTCAGTATCTTGAGCAGCCCACTAATGGGTCTGGTTGAGAAAATTTCATATTCCCTTTTGTGCAAGCAGTTCCCACTTGTCTGAAGACTGTACAGCACAGCTTTCATCTTCTGAGGGTGGGAAGAGGAGGCCATAAGAGACCAGGTATTGGACAGCTCAACTAAGACAGGTACTAGAATAGCCCCTACCTAGTCCCACCTGAAAGGTAAGTAATACTTATACCATTCCTTTTTCACTAGTTTGCATTTCTAGATAAACTATACTAAGTGGCCTTGCTGTATATTGGAATTCTGCTTCCTTATGACCTAGTAATTGGAATTTTATATACTTTAAAAAAGTAGATAACTTTGACTTGTACTAACAGTCTTCAATTATTTTTGGAAGCATCAAATGTCCAAAGCACTGGTACATCTTAGACAATTCATTATTCCTACACTAGAACTCATTCCTAAATAGCAATAATGTTCAAAAGAACTTTATTTAAATAGGCTAGTGCATAACTTTATTGTTACTTGGTGCATTGACGGTATCTCCCTAGAAAAAAGAGTCAAGCATTCTGGTGCCCCTTTTCCAATCATACTGAAAGTTTCAGAGCAAGGTATAGAGAAGAGACATACATGGATGTGTACGTATATGTGCTAAGTAGACAAAAATAGGATGAGTTGCCTTTCACCCGGCAGATAACAGGAACATGTAGGTTAAAGGTGGATTTAAGAGACAGGATTAGAAACACCCAGGATTGGATTTCTCCTTTCTATTTTCACAGTAAAGTTTCCTAGCCTCCACAGTGATAAATATTATCAGGGCCCATTAGTTCTGCAAATCTCATGAATTCTATGGACCATCTCCATCTCTCTAAATTCAGAAAAAGTTATAAAGCAAGCATAGTCCATACTGATCTTCTAGAATTTCCAGCACTTTATTTCAGGGCTTGCTCTAAGTAGATTTTCTTTAAGATTTTATAGAACTAAATACTTCATCTTGGCAGAACTTTTCACTAATGCAATTTTACATTTATACATGTGTTTATTTAAATTGCATCTACCTCCCTCATCATAGTAAAGGAGGGCACTGTGGTACTGTGGAGCACCATCTTATCTTTATCGCTTTTTACGATGCTTGGTAAATAATCAGTGCTCATGAAATATTTAATGGATGAATAGATTCTTGAATGAATGAATGAATGAATGAACACTAAACTCAATCCAAATGTTCCCCTATTCTAAGCTACTGACAATCAGGTTATATTATCCTATCTAAAAATGGAGCTAATAAACTTATTGTTGACATATTGACAAGTTGCTAATGCTTTAGTAATGCCTACTCTGGTCATTTCATTTGAGAAAGAGAGAGGAAAAGAAAGAAGAGATAAAAGGAGAAAGGAGAAGGTGAGCAAGAAGAAAGAGATTCAGAAAGAGAAAGAGAAGAGAGAGAATGAGAATGAATGACTACCAGGGGTTTACTTGAAGAAAAGAAGTGGGTGATAGAAGGAGTACCAGGCAGCCACTGGGAAACTGGTTGTTTAAGGAATACGATTCAAGTTTATTTCAATATGCTTGGTTATTAAACTACCTATTTATGGCAATAGGGCCTAGATACCGTGTATATCATTAATATAATGCTATATCTTATTGTTGGGATCAATGGTTTGCTGTCTAGCTAAATACAAGTAAGATCTAATTTCTTTTTAGAACAGGCTATGCTCCTACTTTTTAGACTGCAGACTTTAAAGTAGGGGGCCTGTTTATCTGATTTGTCCAAAATCAGTGTCTTTACTAAGGTAGGACAGCTATCTACTGCGTCTACCACTGATCCTGTGTACTATTCAGTAGCTGAATAAATCACTTTATCCTTTTGAATATGTTTCTTTAGTTGCAAATACGGGAATATTAATATTCACCTCATTTAACAGAGTATCTGTGGATTGAAATAATATAGCCCAAGTCTACATAATTACCATTCATTTTAAATATTCATGTCAAAATTATAATTTAGTAATCGGAAACACTTGGGTGTTGCCTTGTGTCTTTAGGTGTCAGTTCTTTAAAATAAGACACCCTTGTTTACTTAATAGCGAGAACTGTAAAAGACTCAAATTAAGTAACATCAGATCACCCCCATGCAACTACTATTATGTAAATCCCCTGTAAAATTTTACCTTGAAAAATGATCTCACCAGAAAACTTTGTGAGTAATCCACAGCAACGTATTTGTTTTCAAAATATCCTCATGTCAAAAAGTGAAAACCCCTAAAGAATCTGAACTTTGAAGGATGTTATTATGCACTCTAAATTGTTAAGAACATGTAACATGCAACACGATCCTAAAGCTATTTCAATAAAATTAATCATTGAAACCTATAGACCAATGTCATTAAAAAGTTCTGCAAGGCAAAGATGTAATTTGGAAATGAAGGTAGGGAATATAAGGTACTATCAGTTTCCTCACAAATGCATGTAAATTTAATTATCCCTGGAAACTACCTTTTGAAATGGGCAAAAAATACCCACCATGTGTCATAAACATTGCATTTCTGCTCAGGGCAGTGATTTACAGACCCACTCCTTGCCACAGCGAAAATTCCTCACAAAGTGGACAAGTACCCTCATAGCAGTCCAGGTACTCATTATCTCGAATACTGGATATAAAATGGTCAGCTTCCCATGACTTGGTGGGATAAGGTATGAAGACACTGGAAATAACTGACATAAAAGAGATTCAAAATGCTTTTCCACCTCAAAACACATTCCTGCGTGACCTCTGCAATGGAGCAGAGTTATGAAATCAACATTTTAGCCCACCCAACGGGGCGGGTGGCTGAGTCATCAACATGGAAGCTAAAACCATGGCCTAGAAAAGCAACCACATAGCAAAACAGGTCAGTGCAGTAAATAGAATAAACACACACGCACAATACCCCGATCTTGCTCATCACATGGCCTTCAGCAAGAATAAAACCTTACATACTGAAAACAGTCCCTCAAAACAAACAAAAATCCCACTCTAGGGATTCACACTCTATAAATGTCTTCGCTAATCAGGAGGACTGTATTTATTTTGCAATTCCAAAAAAAAAAAAAAAAAGAAATTTTATGAGAAGCAAAGACATTTAGGACATTTTGTGACTCCCTGACACAACCACCTATTTTCCTGTGTCTGTTAGAATTGTTTGGATCATATTCTATAATTTAAATGCCTGGAATAGCCCTTGGTCTCCTTCCAAGCTCATACATCTTCCTTTTATTGCCAGATTATTTCTCCCCTAAAACATCACTCCGAAGGGTTTAAAGACACGACTAGAAGGGTGGTAACATTATCGAGGAAAGCGGCCGGCAGCACCTTCTACCAAATCTAGCATGCTGGCAGGACTTTCGGTCTGGAAATGAACCAGGGCAAGAGGCCTCTAGAAGAACCTTAAAGCAGAGTTCTGTCTGGATGGATTCTCAGAAAGACTTACAGCTTTCAATTTCCAGGGTACAGTTTTGCTCATCCAGTGGGTACCGCCTTAGGTCCATCATGCAGGCAGCTGTGGTGGTGATTCTAGAAGAGAAATATAAATAATACGTGATGTTAGCAGGTCCATGGCTAGAGTTGGAAATTTCAATTCAAGTACCAACATGGACAAGCCTGGACCTCTAGAAGTTTGCAGTTCAGTCCAACCTCTATTGAAAAAGATTGATGTAACTGTGCAATTCTCATGCTGATGTGTAAAATAAACAGAATGACTTAAGTCAGTGCATCCCAGAGTATGGCACAGTAACTACTTGTACCAAAGTCGCCAGACTGTTTGTTAACCAAGCAGTTCCGATGCTTCCAGAATGTCGGGGGCTGAGGTGGGGAGAACCTAGAACTCTTATTTTATAAGCATCACAGGTGACTGAGAGTACTGACAAAGAAATATCCCTCTTCCTCTAACATTTGTTTTTGTCTCCTTTTATCAAGACCCTAAAATGTAATCTTCTATTGATCTGTTTTAAGCCATCATTTTTTAAACATATTTTACATTGTATAGTAGTTTACAAGTGCTCCAATAACACACATAATCAGTCCTTTTTTAAAAATAATCTATCACCAAAGTTGTTCTGTCCTGAGTAATGTAGTACTTTCCTGCCTCCTTAGAGAGTTTCTTCTATGAGATAACAGAGCTATTGATTTATAACACTTGGCACCTTTATCATTTTATCAGAGAGAAATGAGCATATCCCTTTGTCTTTATGCTTCTTTTTTTTTTTTTGCCATTTTTCACAACTGAAGACCTACTAGGCACCAAAAAATATAGTTCTGGATGATTTATCAATATTCATGTTTTTTTTTTAACAAACTAAATCTTTTTTTAAAGGTTACTTATTTCATGAGTGTATTAGAGAGAGAGAGAGAGAGAGAGAGAGAGAGAGAGGAGAGAGAGAACACCCCTGACAGGGTCTTGGCAGCAGTGTCTACTCCCCAGCCTCAATTAGTCCAGATCATGAGCACACGTGTGCCCACTGTATTCAGTAAGGTCTGGAGCCTCAAGCTGGCAACCTTCCCATAAGGGTCTGCCTTGCACAGCATTGTGTTTTAGGCTGTGCCACCATCAGCCCAGTGTGTGTTTTCTGATCAGCTAGCGGGCATAAATCCATGAAAGAATGCAAGTTTTAGAAGTCAGCATATGTAGGTATAAAGTCCATTTATATGTAAGGTATCTAATAGAGCACCCAGCATTTAGTAGGTCCTTTAAATTTTATGTCTGATGAAGGAAACTAATAATAGAAATTAATGTTGCATTTGACCAATTTAGGCTTACTCTGCTGCGAAGGGCATGATACTATGTGTTTAGAACAGGTAAATACACTGTTTCCCACTTGGGGAAAAGAGTTTACAGACATACTTTTTTATTGTTGTTATATTTAATTGACAGATGCTTGTTTATGAGGTTAGTGTGCTATTCAGATACACATATACAATGTGTGATGGTTAAATAATAGCAAACATTTGACATTCCTTTGTGTTGGAAACACTCAAAATATTTTCTTCCAACTATTTTGGATACACACTAAATTGTTGTTACAGTCATCCTACAATGTTATTGTATACTAGGATTTATTCTTCCTATCTAGCTGCAAATTTGTATCAATTAACTAGTCTCTCCTTCCTCTCCTCTGCCTTTTCCAGCTTCTAATAGTCATGTTTCTCCTCTTTACTTCCATGAAATGAACATTTTAGCTGCCACATATGCTAGAGAATGTGCAATATTTATCTTTCTGTGCCTGGTTTATTTCACTTAGCCTAATCCAGGCGTATCCATGTTGCCATGGATGAAAGGATTTAATTATTTTATAGCATTTCATTGTGTATGTATACCATATTTCCTTTATTTATTCATCTACTGATGGACTTTTATTTCTTAGCTATTATGAATAGTGTTGCAATAAACATGGAACTGAAGATATCTATGGTACACTAAATTACCCTCTTTTAGATATATATCCAGTAGTAGGATTGCTGGATCATATGATAGTTCCTATTTTTCTTTAAGATTTTTTTGCCATAGGGAATTTCTGCACAGGGGAGAGAAAGAGAAAGAGGGGGAAAGTGAGAAATCCCCTCTGGAGGAATAGCCAGCCACACCTTAATCACTTCTCTATTCTTCTTGTGGGATTTCGGGCATGCAACATACACACCTGATGTGATTTTTTCAGTCCCCTGGGTCTGGAACTTGAACTGTGCATTTAGCCATGTGCAAATCCAAAATCTTAATCATCACACCACCTCCTGGTCCTAATAGTTCTACGTTTAATTTTTTGAGGAACCATCATACTATTTTTCATACTGATTGTGCTAATTTATATTCTCACCAATAGTGCAGAAGAGGTTCCTTCCCCTTTCTCTGCAACCTCTCCATTATGTGTCTTTTAAATAATAGTCATTCTAACTAGAGTGAAATGTATATCACAGTGGTTTATATTCATTTCCCTGAGGATTAGCAATGCAGAGCATATTTTAATATAGTTATTGGTCATTTGTATGTCTTTTATTTTTCACATAAGTACAAAACAGTAATCACAAGTTCATCTGGAATCACAAAAAGACCCTGGATATTCACAACCATCCTAAGCAAAATAAATAAATAAAAGTAGAGACCTCACACTACCCCACTTCAAAGCATACTACAAAGCTATAGTAATCAAAACAACATGACACTGGCATAAAAACATTCATAAAGACAAATGGAGCAAAATAGAGCACCCAGAAATAAATTCATGTATATACGGACAACTGTTTTGCCACAAGAGCACAAACCAGAGAAAATTAACTTTATCTGGTAAGATGAAGGCAAAAGACATGAAAGTTACAAGGACACACACAAATTTAAAAATGGAGACAGCCAAGTGCAGAAGACCAGACTGTGTCAATAAGGTAAAGTCTGCAATTGCTGCTATGGCTTGTGGTTAACGCTTTCTGCTGATACATATTCATGGCAACTAACATCTGTGAACTATGCTGTGAATACCAAGAAAAATAAATTAACTAATACGGTTGCAGGAGGTAGGTGTTTCTATTCACGTTTTTAAAAATAAGATAGAAGACAATATTTTTCTTACAATAACATTTATAATTATGCCAGTGTTTTACTGTTTTTAAAAAATGATGTAATATGCTTCATAAAGCTAAAAAGCAATCTAAAAGTTTTCTAATCAAATTTACAAAGCATGTTTAAGTGTCTCTCATTGAAATCGAGCAGAAATTTTGAAGCCAAAATAATCTTTTTTGGACTAACCATAGATAAGGTTGAATGATCTCAGATAGTAATCTGTATTTTCTGCCACTTGCTTGCCTCATCTTGAAAATTTCAATGAAAAGTTAACCATCTTAGGTTGTTGTGAGATTACAAAAAATAGAAAGAAAGCTGCAACTTATATAGTATTCTGCAACTCTTGGTATAGTTATTGCTACTTGTTAGTGAGTAGATACATAATAACTCATTTTACCAGAGGTTAACTGGGAGTCCAAATATATATTTGCATATATGGTAAAATGTAAAATCTTGATAAATATATATAATAAGCAAAGCAGTTTTACTAATATTTAATGCAAATAGTTGCCTAACACATTAACATGCAAAATAAATAGCCTGCAAATGTTGCATACAGTGTTCCATAAGAGAAAACATAGGTGTGAAGCAAGCCTTCATCTTTTCCAGACTAATCAAGAGGTCAACAACCAGAGATCAGCATATAGTGTAAAGGTTACATTGATGGACTCCCATGTAGTCAACAGTGGCTCGAGTTCTGTACCCAGTGACTTAAAACTCATGCTGGGTGCATGTGTGTGCATTCTCCAAGAGGAGACTGGAGAAGGGACTGCAGTGAGACCATCTGCCCAAGGGGTTTATTTCTCTCTTTCTGTCTGTCCTTATCTCTGGCAAATGCACAAACCCTATACCAAAAAAACTTTCTAAAAAAAAAAAAAAGGATCAAGAATTGAACAAGTCTTTGTCATATTTGTACCTTCAGCACTTTGCCATATGTCTGGCACATGTCACCAGCTCAAGAATAAAATAATAATAATAATAAGGAAAACATTATTGTACACATTCTCAAGTTGAGTATTTGAAGCAGTTCTCCAGATTAAGTGCCTGATTTAACTTATGTAAACATTCTCAAGTAAATTTGAAAGTTAAAATTGTTCTTATAGATGAGGTTGGCTCCATGGTACAGCAGGAGTGTGCTTCTCAAGAGAAGTGAGCCCCACATGGTAACTGCAGTTCAAATCCCAGGTCTGATCAGCCTGAAACATGCTGGGCACTCCTACAAGTGCCCAGGATCCCGTAGGAAGGGAATCACAGTGCAACCAGATCTTGCAAAGCATGCTCGCCTCTCTCACTCTCTCACTCTTGTATGCACGTGCATGAGCTCTATAATGTTTAAAGAAAAAAAATCTATAAAGAAAAAAATGGGTCCAGTTTGTGATCTAGTGGTTACATGAGCTGAATTTCATACGATCAATTGTGCAGTTTGAGTCATTGACTCAGCAGCTTAAAAAACATATCGGGTGCATGTGCACATATGCCCAAAATCCCAAAAGGAAGGAGGGGGAGGAGAAAGGATTTCAGAGTGGCCATTCCTCATGGGAGGTGCTTTCTCTGATCCCTCTTTTTCTGTCTCTCTCTGGCAAGTGCACATATCCTAACCCTCCCCCTCCAAATAAAAAAGAAAATTACTTCTTACAGTAAAAGATTCATTCACCTGAAATAAATCTTAGAAAAGTCCAATGATAAGAATCTAAATCTGTTCTTTGGGACTTTGTGATTTATAATAGGACTGAGTTTCTACAGAATAAATCAATATGCTAAACACAGTTAATGGAATTTTCATGAACATACTTTTCCAAATCCTGATAAACATCCTTAGTGGGCCTTAAATAACTACTAACAACACCACTACTAGGAGTGTGTGATGTGAGACTAGTACTCACTGTGCAGCGGTCCTGGGTAAGTTTTAAGGTCACCGTGAAACATATGGAGACAACTGTGTTTTAAATCAAAGGAAATAGCTCAGCAA